TTTAAATAGATTAAAATTTATTTTAAAATAGTAATATCTTGATTTTCTCAACATATAGCGTTTATTCCTTTGGTTAAATAATAATAAATGGCACGATACCCAAGTGAAATAACTTTTCGAGGGGTGCTCCGATGGATTCTAGGGAAACGAATAATACGAAAATTAATAGTATTATCCCTTATTATTGTTTTCTTTAAATATGTACTAAACACATCGGATATTGATCAGAATCATTATTTAAAAAATGGTATAATATACAAGGATGACGAATACCCTATTAATACATTTAATAATTCTTTTACATCGGTATCTCATAAATTATTGGTAGTAATACCCTCCCATATTACCGAAATTAAAGCAAGGAAATTAATGAGGGAATTCATGTTTGGTATTAAAGATAATTTGATACCATGCACAGAACAAAATGGAGACATCTATTATAAATTTTTAGTGAAATCTTATCGGAATGTTGATTATGGAATGTACGTATTAAAAGATTTTAAAGCGGAAGTTATGGAATTTGATGATATTGTAGAGTTTCCAAAGCTGCCGAATGGCGTTGATTGGCAGAAAGTTGTTCTTACTTGGGTATGTAGGAATATTTTATTGCGTTATAAATTTAAAATATTTATAATATAAATATTCAATTTTAATAGATTAAATCACTTGAGAAAATAAAGATTTCTTATGACTACGTGGCGATTATTGATGAACATTCTGTGATAGACCTTAAAAAACTACGACAAATTCTAGATTCATCTATAATTAATAATTACTCTATGACGCCTAAACAGAAATCTAATCTAGTTTGGGGTCGCTTTGATAACCAAATGTCAGATGATATGCTTATAGTCCTTGGTCGAGAATCCATAGATACTTTACTTAATTTTGACTATTTCACAATGCCAAATAGAAATGAAACTTTAATAGAAATATTTACTAATCAAATATCATTAGCTTACTACTATTTCGAAATTGAAAATCTTACAAATGAAAGTAAATTATTTTTCATCAATGATCAAATTGGAATGATAGAATGGTCAAACTCTGTTAAAACTATTCCAGTAGAAAAAACCATAGGGATCGGTCGCGTATATCTAGAAAGTGACGTAAGAAATTTAGTAGTGTATTTATCAATCACCAAATCTACAGTATGTCATCCTATTGTACGTGAAAATGGTAAATTATCAATAGCAATAGTAACAAGTAGTTACATATATAGAGATATGTGTATGTATCCCATAGCAGATGATGTGACTGATAACAAGCGTAGATATGCCAAAAAACATGGATACTCATTTGTGGCGCGCTCTGAAGAATACAACGTCCAACAATTATATAAGAACCGAGAATCTATATGGGGAAAGATCGATTCTATTGAAAAGGTTTTACCTCATTATGATTGGGTTTTTTTTGGTTAGATATGGATGCTGTCATTGCGAATCAGGATATTACTATCGAACAATTGTTTGAAAATTT